TCACTGTATATGTAATGAATTCTTATTAAGCCAGGTATTTTCAATCACTTTTTGTTACATGGACAGAAGTTTAAAGGCTACCTTGGTAGCAGATCAAAAATTCTCATCTGTTATATGACAAATTGTACCCCACTTAGACATGTAGTCTGACCAGACAACCAACTTATTCTGTGAGAGCCATCCCCTGAAGAACACAAGGTCTTCCTTTCTCGGCTTTTCACATAGCATTCACCTCAAATCAAACTGCACCAGAGAGTGTAGTATGGCAACGCGTGGGAGCCTGAACGTGTGTACAGCAAAACCTGTCAGAGAAGGAAACTCAAATACTCAATTTCCACTGGAGATCTATAGGAAAGAAATGATCAGGCTCAAAGGCAGAAAACCAAGTTACAGGCCGTTCTGAAAGTTACAGCTCTCACAGGCTTCACTGTGTTTATTTAAACTTATAACTGAGCCGCGGAAATGAATGAAAAGCCATATAAATCTCTTTTTACCATTTTGTACTTTTTAATTTAAATGAAGATTGATATTTAAAAGGAAAATGAAGCAATTAGAATTAAATAAAATCGAATGCCAATTTCATCATATTTGATCTGATATGTGCAGTAATACTTTATGGACATAAATTAAAATTCTCTAAAATCGACATACACCATCAAATTCATATAGGTATTATTTAAACTATACTATCCTATTCGTGAAATGCTTACTTTGCTTTCTACGATGCAGTACATGAAATAAACAGCAGAGGGCACAAAATTCTAAAGTTATGCCCTAAAAGCTTCTCCTGTACTGGAAAGTAGATCTATTTTGGAGGCAGACAGATTGCGTTTTATTATCGTTACTAACAGCTGAAAACTGAGTACCTTCAGAGAGGAGGCTCATTTGTGGAAAGAGGAGCTTCAAGTCACTTAATTGGGGTAGCCTGGGTTTCCCAGGCCTATGGCAGTGCGACGTGCTGGGGCATTTATCCACACTACTAAAGGAGCTTTGATACATTGCCTAAGGCAGAAGCCAAGAGGCCATGCGGCAGAGAGAGTGAGGACCAGCGAAAAACCGGAGAGTTCGAGGCCCCCTTGGGCATGGCAGGGAAGAGGCTGACCTAGCTGAAGAGCTGACTCTTGAGCAGTTCTGATCCTGAATTGTAACTGTTAACTTCCCTAATAAACCCTGTAATCATGAATATTGTTTGTGAATGCTGTGTAGCCATTGCAATGCGTTAGCACACCGAGAGAAAAAGCAGGGAGTATTGTGAGGAGGCCAGCTGGGATCGAATGAGGAAAGAAGACTGAACGGAAGCGGCTTGTCTGCCCCTTCTTTCTGCCTCATAGGAATTAACTTTTCCCCGTGTGAAGCCAGGTCAGATGCTGCCTCCATGTCCGTTTTGCTTTGAATAAATGCAAATTTAGATTTTATAGTAATTTTTGCAGACCATCTACATAGAAATGGCTATAAAGTTTTATAACATACAAGCATGAACATAACTATATTAAAATAACAGCTAACCCAAAGAAACATGCTATTTATTCAAATACGATCAAAATTGTTTTTGGTTTTTTTTCGAAAAGAGAAAATGTGAAAGCCAGTGTAACTGGATTTGAGTATGTCTGTGTACATTTTTAGCATTATATATATGTAGCTCATTATTTATATCAGAATATGACCTGGGAAATAAGCTATATGAGAATCGTCCTCAAGTGCTTGTTTTGAAGGTAGTTTCCTGTCTTACGCACTATTTACTTTTTCTGATCCATCTAAGGATATAGAATCTCAAATTTCTGTAGTAAAATAGAAACAAATGTAATTACTTATTAGGGTTCCTGTAAATATTGAATAGTAATATGCTATGAAGCCAGTACAGTAAAGCATAATTGTCTCATGTAATTATTAGGACTCATAAAATGACATATGTACTGTGTGCATAATTGAAAACAAATGGCATAAATACTGTGTGTGGTACAATGGAGAAGCACTGTTCTGCTAACTGAAAATTTGGCAGTTCAAAACCCACCAGCCACTCCGCAGGAGAAGAGGCTTCTGGCCTGTTCCGGTGAAGAATACTGACTTGGAAAGTTTCTGGGGAAGTTCTACTCTGTCCTAGGGGTCACTTTGGAGGAAGAAGTGATTTTAAGACACACAAGGACAACAGTGAAAAACAGATTCAAAGTGATATTTACACTCTACTATCCATAGAAGCATTATTCACAAAAATAAGGAGTAGAAACAATCAAAATGCCCATCAAGAAATAAAATGGATAAACATATGTGCTATACATACATGCAATGGACTATTTTTCAACCATAAAAAGGAATGAAGAGCTGATGTATACAACACAAGAGTAACTCAGACACATAAAAATATTATATGATTCTATTTATATTAAACAATATTATTATATATTATAAACAATAATATTCAATATAGTATTGAATAATAGAAAATAATGTTATTTTATATTATAAACAATATTCTATATTAAACAATATAGAAGAAGCAAGATTAAAAAAAAGAGAAATGATCATTTACTAGGACCTGGTTGAGGTGAGAATGGGGAGATATTCTTCAGGGATACTGAGAGTCTGTTTAGGGTAATAAGAAGATTTGGAAATAGACTGTGGTGAAGGTTATCAAACACTATGAATATAATTAATGCCACAATATGTCAAAAAATTGGTAAATAAAACAATGAAATAACTAGAAAAAATAATTAAATATTATAAAGGGACCTTATATACATTCTTGAAGATGAAAGCTCTTTAGAATAAGATCACTAGACAATTTTGGAAATGACACCTTAGTTTTTAAAAATGGACTAGAACAAGGTAATTTTTGAACAGTTATCTTTATTAGTGTATTTTCAAAGGTACATATGATCCTGAGCTACTGTATTTTTACAATTATCATTTATTCTTTGAAGTTTACATTTATTTTGTTCCAAACTCTCTGATAAGTACGTTTTAAATGTTAATCAGGTACATAAATAATTTACATTATTATTCTTATCCCTGGAATAGTCAATTAATTTGCTCAGATCATCTCATTATCTAATTCAACTGCATTAAAGACTTTAGAATAGTTTTTCTCAATGAAGCAATTTCTTTTTTACTGCAAAGAGAGGCAGTGTGAGAGCTGATTTCTTAAGTCCTAGTGAATTCTTAGAAAACTAAGTTGCTTTGTGTTTCTGATGTGTTTTATTTTGTTTTTTAATAAATTGGGTAACTATCTGACACCCTTCCCCCCATATTTGAGAAGAATGGTTAAAATAAACTACAATCTCAACATTTTAGCTAGTGTAAAATGCCATAGGCTTCCTTCACATATAAGTAATACATAATTATCCCAATAAGGAAAATGTTTCATGGTTCTAATGAAAAGAAGGCAACCCAATATAAATATACCTTTGTTTAAATGGTCAAGTATTATAAAACATGTTATATGAAATACCTCCTCTTGGCTCTATAAAGGAATACATACAGTTGATCAACATTGAATTCCACAAATCCAGACAAAAAATTTATAATTGGTAAAGAAAACAGACAAAAACGAAAGTCAAAAAATCCTATGATCCTTGAAAAAAGACATTTATCCAACATTATCTCCAACTGTGGACAAATAAATATTTTCATTTTTGTATTTTAAATTACTAGCAAAATATTGTATCTCTCTACAAACAACAAAAAACCAAACATACATTATCTAGAAATGTTTTTTTTTTTTCTCTAACAACAGTGTCAAGTCTTTGAAGGTACACTCAAAATTTCTTCCTGAATAAAATCATTATGATCTTAGGTTAAAGTTACAGTAAGCAGTTCAAGCAAAATGCATATTGCTTAGATTTTAAAGCAAGCAATTTTGATATCATCTAGTTAAAAGGTAAGTATAAATGTGAAGCTATCATAGAAAGCCTTGTAAATACTTCTTGGGAACTCAGTCATCCATCAGTGTCTGCAGGGTGGAGGATGGGGAAAGTGGTTGCTTCCAGAATCCCTATACGCACTCAAACTTGGATAATCCTTGCACTCCCCCAACCCATATACGTTAAATCATCTCTATATTACAAACAGTACCTAATAGAATGTAAATGCTATGAAAGTAACATGTTATGTTCTCTCTTTGCCTTTGAGGGTTTGTTTTGATCACTTCATTGCTTTTTCTCATACCCCCACCCTCTTCAGAACATTTTCAATCTGTGTTTGGCTGAATTCTGGGATGCAGAACCCGGGGATGTAGAGGGCTGACTGCATTCACAGACTAACAAATTATGAAGCAACTGATTTTAAAATAATGAGTGGCTGATATTAGAAGCAATGATTGGGGTCAGGGCGGTGGGGGTGGGGTATCCAAAATGCTTTTCGGAAACGTAAAAGGACGTGAAAACACGATGGTATTATTATTCAGAGCTTGAAAACCTAGAAGCAAACCAAACTATTTGCATATAATGTAGTGCAATCAATATTTGTTCATAAAAGACTCCCAAAGTCTTGAAACTAGTATACATGAGTCAGAATGGAATCCACTGGGAGAACTTGTTTATAAAGATGTCCAGAGTTTCTTTTCAGGAAGTGCTAGATAGTCTCACCTCATTACAGGATCACAAGCAAGTTTATGCAAAACTATGTTCTGGATAACTGACTCTAATGGCTCCCCAGTAGCAAGCTCGGATAAGGCAGATCAGACCCAAGAGATAAGCAATTGCCCAGGAAACATAGGTTGCGTGAAAACGCCTGGCAAAATCTTGGGTGCCAACCTAAAATTAAAAAAAAAAAAAGGTTAGAAATTTTAAGGAAAGAACTGCTTACAGGATTTGTGTTGAGTAACGTGAGTTTTACAAAATATATAATTAACAGAATAAAATTTAATAAAATGCTGCTACTTATATTACCTCTGAATTTTATGAAATAATCAGATTCCCTAAACATTTGCTATCTCTAAAAGGAATTTAATCTGCATACCTCCTTAGTCTCATGAGACACAGTAGAATACTGCTGGAACTATGGGAACAAGTACACTAACTTTGAGGAACAAAGAAACATAGAAATCAAATAGCAAAAAACCATATCAGTTTCTTCCTCATCTCTTGGTATAATCCCCATGCCAACTGCTTAGCTTCAGCCCCCTCCAAAAATAAACCTCCTTATGTTGGCACTAAGTCTCAGCTTAGTCTTCTGGGAAGAATGAAAGAAGGGTTTTTTAGGCCATACCACATGGGCATTGCTCAGGTACAAAAACAAACAAACAAAAGCCCAAGGCAATGCAAAACTGGTCCAAGAGAATACACTCGAGTACATCACATGACAAGTGCATGTCAGACCCTTCAGAAGGGCTCCCCACTGTCATTTCACCCAGATGGGCATGGTCTACTGGAAACTGGACCATGAATTGGGCTGCAGATTGTCCACAGTCCTTCTGAAGGAGCTGGGCCCAGCATGCAAGGGAAGTAGGCTCTTCAAGGGTCATCCTTTGTGGGCCCTTTGTTTACTATGAAGGAAAGCTGACAGGAAAGAATGCTAACAGTAAAGCAATACTTACAGTTAATCCGATGCCAATGAAAATACATATCATTCCAATTGTAATGTATGCACAACAGCGTCTACGTGGAAGTGCACTGCCCACGGAGGAGCTGCAAATTCACAAGCGCAGAAGGAGATATGCAATATTTCATATACTGTTTATATACTTTATTCATTTCTTCAATTTGATATACAAGAACATGCATGAAATCGATCATTTTTACTGAGTAACTAAAATTTAAAATGATACTTTTCAAGCTGTACTCATTCACAGTATTTACAACCATATAATCATGAAACTCCTCAATGAGCTCACAAGAGAAAAATCTACTTCAAAAAAATCGATTGCAGAATAGAAATTAAGGGCTATCTTTTTTTTTAAGGGCTATCTTATAAATAACATCTGGTTTTCTTGATCTGATTTCAATTTATTATTATTAATATATGTTTACTGTAGGATATTAGGGCAATGTAAATAGGAAAGGGATATGATCTTTAATCCTATGACTGTAACATAATCTCTCAATATGTTGGCATATTTTCTTCTAATTGTTTATTTTTCTTTTTTAAACATATCAATATATCATGAGTATTTTGCTATGTCATTAAGTATTCCCAAACTAGAATTCTGGTGGATGAATAGAACATCAAAGTGTCCAACTGTAATATAACCAGTTTCCTAAAATAACACAAGTTATTTTCATTAGTAATAACAGCACCAGCTAAACAGCATTTAAAAGCACTATGCTTATTTTTCACCATTTTCTTAAAATAAATTCCTAGAATGAGGAGTATAAATTTAAAGGGATTAAAAAGTTCAAAGTAAAAAAAATAAATAAAAATTTCAAAGTCTTTTAATAAGGAATTCATAAAAGCGTATATTGTTACTGTTGCTACTTGCTGTTGGGTTGATTCTGACTCATGGCGTTCATGGAGACTCCACTGTCTCAGAGTGCTTCAAAGGCCCTTTAGGAAGCAAATGGCCAGGCCTGTCTTCCAAAGCACCTCTTGGTAGGCTAGAATTGCCAACGTTGGGCCCAGTGCTTTAGTCCTTAACACTTTACACCATCCAGGGATCCCTACCACTTCTCAATTAAAATTCCAAACCCACAGTATTTAGCTCTCTCTACTTCTAAAAAAATCGATTGCAGATAACCATTTTGATAATTTTCAAAACGATACAAGTATGTTGTTGTTGTTAGATGCCAGAGTCAGTTCCAACCCATACCATCCCTATGCACAACCGAAGGAAACCCTGACTGTCCCTGTGCTTCAACCAGCCCATGCGGCAGCCACTGTGTCAGTCCATCTCCTTGAGGGCCTTTGTCTTCTGTGCTGCCCCTCTACTTTATAAGCATGATGTCCTTCTCCAGGAATTGGTCTCTCCTGACAACATGTCCACAGTATGTAAGACGAAGTCTCGCTATCCTTGCCTCAAAGGAGCCGTTGGCCAGATTTCCTCCAAAACAGACTTGTTAGTTCTTTGGGCAGTTTGTGGTACTTTCAATATTATTTGCCAGTACAATAATTCAAATGCACCAATTGTTTGGTTTTCCTTATTATTCAGTGCCCAACTTCCACAGGCATTGGAGGCAACTGAAAATGCCTTGGCTTGGGCGAGGTGCCCCTAGTCTTCAAAGTAGCATCCTTGCTTCTCAACACTTCCCGCAGCAGAGCTATCCAATGCAGCATGTCTTTTGATCTCTTTTGACACAAGTATAACAGAGCTCTAACTGCCAAATTAGCACTTCCTTCTCAGCCTAGTTGTGCATGTATTTATGAACACATCCTGCGTGCCAACCACTATGCTAGTAAATGACAAAAGAGAAGTATCTTAACCACATTTGTGCGCCCAATGTCAAGATCATCACACCTGGCACACAATCACTGCTCAACATACTTTAGGAGTAGATTTTTTAATAGAATAAGTATTTCCTTTAATTCTCAAACTTTTAAGAATAGGTGAGTGTCATTATACATATATATTATAAACTTTCCTGCATATTTGAATCCACAGAGTAACTGCATAATCTTGGGGCTATCACTAATTATTGCATTGTGCCATATTCCAACTTGCTCTCAGGGATTACAGAGCCCTGGTGGCGTAGTGGTTATGAGTTGGGCTGCGGTCCAAAAGGTCAGCAGTTCGAAACTACCAGCCCCTCTGAGGGTGAAAGCTGGGACTTTCTATTCCCATTAACAGTTTACCGTCTCAGAAACTCAGAGGCAGTTAGTTCTACCTTGCCTATTGAGTCGCCTTAAGTCAGCATAGACTCAATGGCAGTGAGTCTGGTTTATGTCAGGAATGACAAGGGCATGAAGTATTCATTGCCCCTTTGCTATATTTACCTTATTTATAAAACCTACATTTTATTATAATATATGAAACCTATAATTTGTTTTCAAACTTAGGTGTGAATTTAGTGGGCTTTCCTGACTTATACTTCACAGTCAGCTGATGTTTCTCATTATTATCATGTACTTACATTTGGCAGCCCTTAATCTACAACTAGAAACCAATTAAGTTTATTAGAATTACATGTTAAAAAGGACAAAATTTTCTAACAAAATATTAGAGGAGATTTTCTGATCCAAGAGAATATACTTGAATTCATTAATTCCAGTGCATGAACTCTACTGCTTAGACCAGGCCTGTCCATTTTTTAAAATCACTCATATTGTTCCTGTCTCTGCAAAGTATTCTCAAAAAAGAAATGACCTGCTTCTACCTCACAAGCCACGTGTCATCGTACCACAGAGATAAGGCAATGATCAAAACCAACCATGGCATACATCATAAAATCTCTTTATACATGTAATATGGGTGTGGTATCTAGGTAATATATGATATGCTTTGCCTAGGTTAAAAGTTATGTGCATATGTTAAACTTAAATGAATAAAAGAAAATTATGAAGTAAACAAGCTGAACAGAAGATTGCAAAGGGCTGCACAAAGAAGACAAACTGTAATTGAATGTGCAAGACATGGAGTTCAGAAACCAAAAGAGAAGAGCATGCTAAATATTTCTCAAGCTGAAAAAATTGAAGGAAAAAATTAGCCTTGACGTACAATATTAAAAAGTTCTATGGGCAAAATATTAAACAATGTGGAAAAAAAAGAATATGGAAAGAATGGGAGTCATCTTAAAGAAGCAGTCAATTTTCAACCATCTTAGGACAGAGCCCACGATCAAACACCACAGGCCAGGCTGCGCTTTAGGCAAGGGTGAAAAAGTAGGCCCCAGTAATTAATGGAAAACCAACTGAGATGTTTCAACAAATGGACGTGGCTCTGGAAGCACAGCTTTGAAGGTGGTGGTCACAATGGCCCAATTAAAGGACAAACTTCACCTTCCGTTACAGTAGTCCCAGCTCCTGAGTAAGTTTGGAACAGTGAGTGGGGGAAATATTTCTCAATTCTGTAGCCTCGCAGGCTTCTTTCCCTGTGTGTTTTGTAAGATAAACACAACACGTAGGGCTTAGTTTCGTAGCAAAGATTTAGCAACTCTTACAATTTAAGATAATCTTAGGATGTTTGAGAGTTGTCTGAGAAAGAAAATTACCATCTCAGATTCTTACTTCAACAGACGGCCCATCATTTTGCTATGAATAAAAACATTCAAAAGGAAGAGTGGTGACACCAGCCCTTGGTGTTCATGTGATCACAACATCGGTGCCCAAGTATGCCCTGATAAGTAATGAATGCCCTGCTCTCTCCCATGTTTAGCATGTGATTCCAGTTCTATAAACATTCTTCTTAGGATAGTGTTAAGCTGATTGATTCCACGGGAATTCTATGCAAGTTGTTCCCTAAGTAGTTCACATCCACATTAACACACTGTCTTGTGACAGTTTAACAAATCATAGACTATCCAGAAATTCAATACACCTTTATTATTACAAAACATCACCACTGTTTAAAATGATTAACCAAATAAATCAATTGAGAAAAATCCCTTACCTACCTAACGCTTTCCATCAACAAAATGAAGATAATATACTCTGGATTCCAATTTTCATAAACATTACAGCTAGTGTATGTGGATGTTATTTAAAGCAACTATCATCCACCTAGCAAACAGCTTGCTTGCTAATCACATAATTCTCTGCTTTTTATCTTGCACATGATATTCCAATCCAGGGTACTATTCTCAGTGAAGACATTTACAGTTCAATATTATTCATTTTTCTGGAAATACAGATAATACATAAAAGTATGCATCATTCACATACACACACACAAGCACACATAATTTTAGTAATTTCCCATTCTTAGGAACTGATTTCCCTTCAGACAATGATAATCAAGCACAATCATTTTAATTTTAAAATGGAATATATTAATTAATGCAAAGTTGTCTCTTTTTTGTCTTAACAGCATAAATGTATTTCACACATTCATTTGAGAGAGTATAAAAATTAAATGCTATGTAACTACGAATTCTGAGTTCTTTAAATTGGTCTTGGCATTTCCAAGTTTATAAAGAACTTACATTTTTTTGCAATGTGGGCATTTCGCCAGAGTGTTGAACCTCAATTCCATCCACTGTAAAATAAATAAAGAGAATAACTGAAAAGAAAAACAACCAGGAAAATGTCCAATCTGATAAGATGTTTCTCTCAGTTGAAATATCACCAGGGTTCCCAGCAGAAGTAATCACTTTCTCATGGTTATCGAGCTTTGGGCCACCAACTCTCTTTCCCCTCCTTAAATTAAACTTGAGACTCCCCTAGGAAACTTTCCCACGACTTTTCCAGGGCTCTGACGCACTCCAGGTTTGCTTTGCAATGAAAGCTGGATGTAAGGCCACAATTAGGGTCATTTCTTTCAGCATTATGTCTCAGTTCATTCCGAAGAAATACAAATATATTTCATGAGCAATGTACAAGATCAGATAGGAAACTATGGGGGCAGTGAGTTCACATTATTGGAGGAAAATGCAGAAAAAGAGGGGGAGAATGGGTACAGAACTGAACAAACTATAATCAATGTCACCGAATTGTACATGTGCAAACTGTTGACTTGGTGCATGACCCTAAGTTGTATAACCTTAACAACAGGAAAATGAAAATTTAAAAAACATATTTCATGTAACTTCAAAGTTGCTTTTTCTTCTAATATAGAAGGTCAGCTTATTAAATACAGGGCTGTTTGGACGCATTGCTAAACTGCAACTATTCATTCTGCAAAGGCACAAAATAAACTAAACAAACGGGTGGAGGGAAAACTAAAGTCAAGATACTTTTCTCCCTGTCACGGGTTCTACCCTGACCCAAAACACACTTCTTTCACGTAAATTTCTCTGCCAAACTTCTTCCCTGTCAATGTCGGTGAAAGCACGTGCTGACTTCCTCAGAGACTTACAAAGGCTTACTGGTAGTAGGCTGCCGTCTTTGAAAGACTAGGCACTGTAAATTCGAGGTTAATGTTAATCATATATAAAATATACTTCGGAAATACACTTCTTACTTTCTATGTCCTCTCTAGATACTTTCTGGAACAGGCAAACTTCATTTACAGGGTTGGGGATACTTATTTAACTCCTTCAAACGTTTCATCATAAAAATGACTTTTTCTTTATGAAAATTAATTGCTGTTTGGGAATCCAGGTCACGCACTTCCCTTTTGGTTGTGAGGTGCCCTTAAGTTGATGCTAACTCCCAGTGGTCCCGGGTAACAAAGGCGGGCCGCCTCATTGGTTGTGCGAGGCTGTAAAGTTTACAGGAGCCAATGGCTCGGTCTCCCTCTCAGGGCGCTGCCGGGCGTGTGCAAGTCGCCAGCGTTCAGTTACCAGCTAAGCAGTTCAGCGTTGAGCAACCAGGCTCCGTATTGGAATTCTCAAATCCCAAGTTCGGCAGGGCTTCAATAAGTGTATGTATTTGTGTTTGTCATACAATGGAAGACACTTTGTAAACAGCCTATGAGGTTTTGGTTTTGCATTAATTTAGCTTTAGAAAAGGATCAAACAAAACTTAAGTTTGCTTGGACACTTTTTGCTCCATTTCCATTTCGAACTCTATGAAACCCGATTAACGCTGATGTGATCTCTCAGTCATAGCAGGACCACACAGGTCCAAGATAACTCACCCAGAAATAAAACTCTACATGAATGCTCATTCTCTTTTCAAAATGTTTTTGATGTGGGATGTCCTTCGTTTTTCTATAAAAGCCTTTTCTAAAAATACCCCTCAAAATACTACTGTGGTTATATTATCCCTCAAAAAAATTCTGGAGGCTAAAAAAATATTTGAAATTGCTACATAAAACCTCCCTTTTGGATACTAGTATTGCTGATGCATGCTTACAAGTGCTTAAAAAAAAAAAAGCAAGAAAGAAATCTGCTTGTTTTATTCTAGCAATTTCCAACAACCATGGAACTCTTCAGTCACACAAACCAAAAGCCTAATTACCTGCCACCAAGGTGATTCCAACTCACAGTAGCCCTATGTGCTCCAAGAACTACTCCACTGCATTTCAGGACTGCCACCTTGCCGAAGCAGAAGGGCAGGCCTTTCTTCCAGGGCACTCTGGGTACGATGGTCAAACAAGCAACCCTTCAATTACCAATTGAGTACTTAACCATTTGCCCCATCCAGGGATTCCTTACTCACACAACACCTACGATTATCCTATAAAATTAACGTCCTATTGAATATATACTTTGGGAAACAAATCCAGCTACTCTAAATTGTATCCATCGTTCTAGTCAGACATCAAAATCAATAGATAGTGTGAGTTCCTAGCAAATTTTACTTCAGCAATAAAATATTGAAATATATATTTAAATGTTATTATACACAGCAGATGCTGTTGAGAACAGTGTCCATGACTTTATTTATTTGTTTTTAACTTAATCCATGGGAAATTTCTTTTAGGTCTCAGTATTCCAGCAAAAGCTTTTCCTAAGTAGACTTAGAAAAACATCATAAATCTCATATATCATGATTTCCTCTTTTCACTGACGGCTAGAAAGCATAAAGCTAACTGTCAGCCTAATTCATCAATTGGACCAGCGTAAGCAGGGTGGATGCGTATGTTCTTATCTATGACTTCCTCTTACCTTCTACCCTAGTTTTCATTCTTGTTGAGCTTCTCAAAATGTATTTTCAGTCACACTGAACTGAATGTATCTTTGGGAATCAATTGCTTCTAGACTTTGCATGCCAAGGCTGAAATAAGGTGGTAATAGATACATAAATTAATTGCCCTACCAGTGGTAACTTAAAGGTAAAAGGACATACTGCCGTGGATATAAGATTCTTCATGGCTAGCACAATAAAATATATAAGACTGAGTTCTCACATCATAATCAAGAGTTTTGTAACAGTGTATTCTTTGTAACACTGAATATCTCCAATTCATGTGAAATTCTTAAAATGAAACAAACAATGAAACCCCACTGCCTTCAAGTTAATTCTGACTCATACCGACTACAAGGACTGTAGCAGTAACTATAAGCATTCTTTCTGAAGTTAGAAATCTTTACGGGTGCAAACTGCTTCACCTTTCCCTGTGGGGCAGCTGGTGGGTTCAAACTGCTGCAGACCTTGGGGTTAACAGTTAACACTTACCCCAAGGTACAACAGTGCTCCTCTACCCTGTACACATGGTACAGTGTTCTCCAAGTAACCAAAGCACTGGCTTCTGGCAAGTTTAAGTCATGCATATATCTTTACATATCATATATGAATCCCAAAACACCCGTTCCTACAAAAGGATTGAAGTTTTTCATCAGCATTATGGTGTTAATATATTACCATTATTATTTAGGCTAAATAATAAAGTAAGAAAAAGTCCATTTTAGAAGGTAGTCTCTGGTTTGCATATTACTTTAGTAACTTTCTTCTGAGGTGAAAAACATACTAAATGCAAAAATCATTAAAAAAATAATAAAGACTATGTCACATAGATGTTAATCTAAATTCTCAATAAGTTGGATCATTCTCTAGAACTCACTGCTAGATTCCAAACAGTTAATTATAAGCCTTTGAAAATGTATCTGATTCTTTTTTCTCATTTCCTTTTTCATCCCAGTACCTCTCAATTTTCTCTCTCAAAAGTTTGCGGTCATTTCTAACTATGGCCATCATGTTTTTCAATGAGCCCTGGTGGCGTTAGTGGGTTACATGTTGGGCTGTTCAAAACCACCAGCAGCTACTCGAGACAAAGACTGGGCTTTCTACTCCCTTAAACAGTTACAGTCTCGGAAACCACAGGGGTTGCTGAGTCAGCCGTGACTCGATGGCCGTGAGCTTGGTTTTGGAGGTAGTCTCCTTTTTCTCAAAGTTGGCTTCTGTACAATCTATTCTGGACAATGGAGCCATGTGTATGCAATTAAACATAATGCTATTTTATGGCTCTCCATTACTCTTAGGAAAATGTCACTTCCTCCAGGAAAAATAAATGTAGGCTAGATGCCATTATCTATGCAGTAATGGCACCCAACACTTTCCTTATTGTAATCCAAATGCATTTCATTTTAATTGTCTTTATTCTTCCATTAGATCAGAAAACTTATGACTGTGCTTTCCTGTTCACCACTGTTTACCAAGCGCTAGACCAGTGCCTTGTACACATTCAACATATTTGCTGAAAAAATAAAATCAGTTCATTTGTAATCTGGTTCTAAAACAGCGAAGGACACCAGAATCCCCTTGTCAAATGATTTTATAAATCATTCAAAGGAAATTACAAGCAAGCAGAAGAGTCGAAAACCACACAAAACTGCTAAACCCACATCCTGGAACAAATGGGGAAGTTGAGTAAATAAATCCCCCTCATTCAAGCTCCTCTAAAGTTATTGTTTTGGTTTTTCCCAGAAAGCCCAAGTGTTAGCCATATGCAGTAACAGAGAAGAAGATACAGTATAGGCTGCCATCAAGGAACACAGCAAGCACACATGATATACCATAATAAGTTCTGCCCTCTGGTACCAGACGCTCTTACAAGTTTGCAAGCATCCAACTAGGAGAACAGCCATACTTGTACCATATGAATATAGACCAGCCTATTCCAGTCAAACTTCGCCTTTTTGCTGAATTTTAATGAATATGTATAACCTTCCTGTTGGACTTCGAGGGGGATAAAAACCCTGGAACCCTTTGGAGCTTTGGAGAGACAAAGGTAAGGATTGCATAGGCCCTCATGTCTTTGCCAGTGGGCTCTCTTCTCTAATAAACGTTGCTCATGTGGAAACACTGGTCCTCTCCTTGTCATGCTAAGTCAATAGAAGCAAGAACCCTCGATTATCAAGGAAAATGATTGAAAATAGAAAATATACCTGAGCAAAATGCAAGGCAATTATGTAAAGAAAGATCCTCCCTTACAAAGGCTGAAAAGAAATCTCTTTTGGAGATTTAAAAAATGGT